AAAGCTTTTGGAAGCTTTTAAAGCAGGTGTTTCCTAAAGTGACCCCCTATTGGCACTAGGGAAGGTTGCTCTCCTGAGGCCACGCATGCATGAAAGGTGAGAGCTGAGCTCTCAAGGAGGGGCTGAACATAGCAGGTACTCTCCCATCCATAACCCATCAGTGAAAGCACAAAACATCAAAATTTGAACACTAATTATTTCACACAGTACTTATTTAAGCAATGCCACGATGCCCCGCGTACCAATGTCACACTAATGAAACAGCACCTCCTAACTAAGATAAGGTAAACAAATGAAAATATTGCTTCATGTCTTGTGAAGATAAGCCTCTTAAAATACCCCGTTATTTTCCAGTTCCAGTGCTGGGAAGGCAGTTGAAGTGCTCAGAGTTTACAGCTAAGCGCATTGACACGGCAGTTTCGCAGCGCTCGGGGCGACGGTGGAGCTGGGAACCACAGTCTTTGGGCACGTTCTGCTTGAGCAGATGGCTTGCGTTTAAACTTAATGGAGCTCAGGCAATTTCACCTCGCTGCCTGTTCAGATGAGGGAGATATCACAAATAGACAAACCTCAGGACCGAACGAGCCTTCATCCTCCACGTGCAGGAGATTGCTCTATTTCAAATAGGAACGATGGGGACGTTTCCTGCTGGTGAGGAGCAATTCCCAATGATCACTGCTGCAGTTTGCAGAAAAACGTCTTCAGTTTTCACAGACAGAACGTACCAAACCATTCTGCCAATTTTTGCCCCTCTTTGTCAAATTTGTCATTTATTTCTCTCCACTGGCAGAACACAGACGGTGCTGCCAGCACAGCGCATCTGCAATGGCGATCCCTTCATCTTCAGGCCTGGCTGGATGACTTCTCCTTGGGAAAGGTGCAGAGGCAGGAGCTGAGCACCCACCTTCCCCTCCCCTATCAGCCTCAATGCTGCACTCTAAGGCTTTCCTTCAGCAGGGCAATGAAAGCTTCCAGAAAGCGACAAGCGCTGCCATAAGGGTTGGTTACTCAGCTTGAGTAAATGCTCAGCATAATTCAGGATTTCTCTGTTCCTGACAGATTAGATAATGTGGTCAGTGAATTCGAAAAGAATAAATGCAGAACTCATTTGCATCAGTGCTTTCAATTTGCTCAGAATGTTTTCTCGTTTAATTATTAGCCCACGGTAAACTAGTTATCAATTAATTGCTAGAAAATTGAAGTATGTATGTGTGTGTTATTGCTTAGATCTCTAATTGGCTATACCGTTGCTTTCTTGTTAAATGCTAATTAAAGTTTCAAAAAGGCCAAACATTAGTTAACTTTAAATGGTTTAACAAGATACACTAATGTATAAACACATTTATATTGCACATTACTTTTATGCCAAGTTATGGTAAGCCTGCAATAAAGATTGCAGACATTTCCCCCCATATTAATACGATGTTCTGAAGATAGGTCTTAACTAAATGAACAAGATCTCTTCCTTCCTTCCATTAATTTGTCAAATATCTATTCGATACTGAAGACAACGTGCATGAGTCAAGGCAGACCAGCCTGCAAAGTCTTTTCTAGTGCCAGTAATTCTGGTTGCAGCTCACCCAAGGTTTCCTGGAAGACAATGAAGGCTCACAGTAGCAGCCAATGCTCTAACCAAGGGGCTCTGCCCGCAAACAGCGTGGCCCTGCCTTCCTTCTCTGCTATTCTGCTTCATCTGCAGGAAACAAAGCTCCATCTGCCACCATGCTCTGCTCACGCTCAGCTGTTCTGGGCTCTGCATACCAAGTGAATTGCAGAAGACCTTTTCCATCACTGTTTGCAACTATTTCTCTTTCCTGCTTCATGAAATCATAGAATGGCTTGGGTCAGAAGAGACCTTAAGGATCATCTGCCTCAAAGCTTTCTTGTTTTAAGAACCATGAAAAGCAGCTGAGCAGTGCTTCCTTGCTTGGACATGCCAGCTGCAGAGTATGAAGCCCTGCTTACCAGGTGGCAGACTTTGCCCATTATTCCCTCTTCTCAGAGGAATGGGGATTTTTGCAGGTGGTTATCATCTCACCTTATCTTTATCAGCAGCCATTTGGATGGAAGAACATCGCTGAAGGCTTCCACAGATGTTCTAAACCAAAGGAGTGACTGAAAAATATTCTCAAAAGGAAAAATATCAAACTATGTATTAATGCTAAGTTTGTGAAACTCATTAGAAATTAAAGCTGTAGGTAAGAAGGCAGCTGTAACAACCCCAAATCTTATTGTTAGGATGGCATTTGAGACTTCAGATGGAGTTCAGTTCCTGGAACTGGAAACGTGACACATTAACCTCAGCTTCTCCCTTATGCATTGCACTCAGTCAAAAGGTACAGGAAACAAAACCCCAGAAGGGTACCATCGTCATCTCAGAGCAATTCTCTACAAAAGAGGGGTAGAGTTTGTGTAAAAAACATGAGATGCAAATGCAAGCAGTTGGTAGCAATCACAAGTACAAACACTGCAACTTCTAATTCTCCTAATTTGAAAGTAATCATTTCATTATAAATCCAGATCTCAATGAAAAAACACCAGCATTCATTTTTCAGTTGGAGTACATCTGTAATCTTCATATTTAATTAGACACCGGATAAAACAGGCAAACGCTCATTCATTTGGATCCTGTAGATCAAACAGGGAATGCTTGACAAAGGGGAATGCTGGAATAGCAGGAGGCTTCATCTCTACTCAGTGCTTTTTGGCAGGTGTTTCAAAGATTTAATCCACAAATGTCAGCCCTGGTTCTAAGTGTCCTCAGCACTTACCATCATTAAGAGAGGAGATTGAGATTTCATCCGAATGATATCCAGCAGTAAAGCTCAGGCAAAGCTGCTAAGCACTTCTGGAAACGAGACAGCAATGAGGAATGCTAAGGATGGGATTTCTGAAGGTATTTCAGTCATTAGAAGTGTGGAAGCCCCACGGATGCCCAGTGGAACGTCATCTCCCAGGATGGCTGAAGATCCCACTCCAGACTTCAGGCAGAGAAGAGATGCTGGGACTGCCGCTGAGTGGAACCATGTGTGGCCTTCCAACACCTTCAGGGCCTTTCTGGAATTCCAGCTCCTGGATGGACAAACTTAAAAATGTTAGAAATAGATGCAGGCAGGTTCATTAACCTATCCACAGGAGACTCAGCAGACACAGATCACACAGATGATGCTCCTGATCCCCGTGCTCCAGGGCTGAGCGGCTGCCCAGAGCTCTTGTCCAGACTGCCCAGGTGTGCTGAGGACAGGACCCACATTCCAGTTTTCCTGCCTAACAAAGAGGATTTTCATGGTTCATTTAGAAAGCCAGTCCCCAAGGCTAAATTTTCTAAGAGTTCAGACACACATACGAGTAAGTTATTATGCAAGAACAACTCCTCATAAAGCAGCTGGGTTTCCATGCTTATGCAGAAGTGCAGCCTGGAGCTAATTGCAAGGTAACTCTGGTGAATTTAGAAACCCTTTTGTTGTGCTAATACAGGGTAACAAATTAAAACTTAAATTATCTGCACATCTAAGATGGGAGAAGCCACAGAGAATAAAAAGAGGCAGAGAAGCGAACTGTTGAGCGAAGTGGTAACGCTTTCTGGTGCTAATTGATTTCCTAATTCCAGCTGACTTCCACGGCAGCTTGGCACTTCTGCTTGCACCTCCAGCTGCATATGGATCTTTAAGGACCCGGTTCAGAAGGAATCCTTGGAGCGAACACCACAGCAGGCTACGTGCAGAACGGCTGTTCAATAAAAATAAAGTGTTGTGCAAGATCACATCCTCCTGGTGAGACCGAGCACCTCTGCTAAATGTGACCTGGCAGCACAGACACCTCCATGGGGAGAAGGCCTCTCCGGAATCTTATTTTAATGAGCTGGTGGGACTTGGAGAAGAGTCGTTTGTTTATACAATCAATTTACTCATTTATGCCTAAGTTAATTACATTGATTGCAGAAAGGAAATATATGCTTTTAAAGACGCACCCAGCTGTTCTTTGACCCAAGAGCAGCTCCTGCACAGCACCTACAGTTCCAACAGTGTGAGCCAAGCAGGGGAGCCTGCTGGGAGAAAACTGATGGGAAAGCACTGCATAAAACAAGAAGGGTTAAGATAAAGAAATAAATGATAAATAAAAAGCCTGAAGAAAGAGCTGCCACCCAGGAATATTGCATTGAGCTCGAGAAAAGGCTGCATCTGATCAAAAGCTTATAACACCAAGGCCTGCACTAGAAATGTAATAAGTCAGAGCTCTGTTTCTCTTATTTGTGTACACACTGGCACACATTTTACTGGAACAGATGGATTGATGGTCTGAATACACGTCTTCTGAGAGACAAGGAGAAGTCTCCTGGCAGCCAAGTTAATTAGAAACGAAACTTTGCTGAAGATGCTCAGTGGTAATCAACCGTCACACAGAATGCAGCCAACCATCGCTCACGTGAAACAAAAACCTTCTGAACTCTTCCCACGGACGCTAAATAAGGATTAAAGCCCCGGGGGAATACCTTCACTGAGGCCGCACCGACGGTGGAAGCGCAGAGCTCAGCCCCAGAGCTGCTCCTCCTGCAGGGAAGCACCGGGCGCATCCACGCACCCACCGTGTGGGGACAGCATGGAAGTGCAGCCTGGAGCTGCTTCAGAGGGCAGCTGTGAGACAGGAGAGCAGTGGCAAACACGCGGCAGATGTTTTGGTATGCCAAAGCAGAAAAACAAACACTGGGTGCTACAATAGATATCCCACGTAGCCAGAAGGCAGGCGTGCAGCAGCTTCTCCAAGGGAGGATGGTTGAGAGCTCAAAGTTTCCTGAAGTACATGATAACATCTGAGTAATGCTCACATGGATACAATTCCGAATTTAAAAGCCCAGCCTCCCCTGCGCACTGAGATGAGGTTCCCAGTTTGCACTCCCATTCTCCTCGGCCACCGTCACCCCAAGACAAGACAAACCCAGCTGTGAAAGCAGCACAAGGAGGTCGCTGATGTTGTTGTGCTAACATATATATTTTCCAGATAAAAACAAGTTCCTGAGAATAACGAGGGATTTTTCCCCTTGCTGAGAAGTGAAACACAGCAATCACACTGCATCATAGCGTAACTATAAAGCACGTACATCTGTTTGTGTCTTGAAAGCTTGCAGAAGCACCATGTAGAACAGCCACAGGGCAGCACAGAGTACATACACATCACGTTCCAATACACAGGCTTAATTTAAATCAACAAAACCGAGTATGATTTCATCTAGTCTATGTATAAAGATTCAAAGTGAGTGGGTGGCACCCTCCAATGAAAAAAAAATGTATTAAAAAAAATCACCAAAACCAAAACAAAGCCACAACATTGCCACATGCTCCACCCAACAGCTCTACATTGGAGCAGGGATGCTGCTCCCAGCCCGCCCTCCAGAAAATCCATTTCCCGTGTGTGCACAGATCCTCTCCTGCAGCCACGTAACTGGGCAGTTATCGAGTGATTTGCAGCTCAAGTCCCGCACCGTGGCTTCATTATGCAGTAAACGTCACAGCCGCAGAAGGAAAATATGTTTCCTGTTCTGAAAAGCAAAAAAAAAAAAAAAAAAAAAAAACAGGAAAGTTCAGATGACAGCCAGGAGAAAGGTAAGCCTGAGGAAATACAGGGCTGTGCTGGCTGGGATACCTGAGCCCGCACTGATTTTGGGACAGCACTTCGGGCAGGCTGGGATGCCTGCTGCAAGCCAGGATTTACCAAGCTGCTGATCGTTAGCAAAGGAATGCTTTTATCCTGCATCCCCTCCTCAAATACTACTCAGTAGGTCGGCTTGCTTGTTTTCTCTCTTGACTTCCAGTTCCTCTCATTGTGCTGATTTCAGAAGAGATTCCTGATATGTGCCAGGGTGAGAGCTGAAGTACAGCTGTCAGTATATGAAATACATGACTGATTCCTGGGTGCACTCAGTAACACAGCCCCACAGCGACTGCAGCACAATTGTCTTCATTGCTTACGTGTGCTTTAGTAATGGGAATATAATTGTTAGTGCTTGTAAGACATATAGCCTCATTACAGCCAGCCCTGTTGGCATACTTTAGCCTCAGCCTGTATATTCTACTTCACCTCTCATTGAAATAGATGAACTTTTCCTTCTGTTTTCATCTCTCCAGGAGTAACTCCTGCCTCTGCCTATTGCTGCATCTCACCATGGAAGGCACAACAGCCTCAACTCCCTAGTACTGAATTCACTAGTCACGAAACACAACCAGAAAGAAAAAGGTTCAAGGACACACTGCAGTTATCCGTGGCATTGCTGACACTGGGAATAAGGGCACAAAGGAAGAAGGCACTCAGTGGGCAAATGCTGCCTGGAATCTGCCAGTGGTCCCCAACATGGATGGGTGGCACCTGAGCCCACCAGGCTCTCCCTGGCCTATGGATGCACATGCTTTCTTTTAAACATTGGTTATACTGATGATTTTTAAAGGTATATTCTTATTAATTTTGAAAGCTGGAGCAGCTTTTGGAAGAAGCTGTGAAAGTTCAGTGAGTGAATCCATTTCTATACAAAGATCATTTCTTGCTAGTCAGACTGAATCACCCCGAGCTGCTGCTGCCTGCCATCTCAATCCCACCATCCCACTTCAGCCTTCAACTTCTCTATTTAAAACAGAATGTTAAGAAGTTAAAAAACAACAGAAGAACACTTCAGGGGACTCTTGTTGAAAAATGCCTGTGCACATTCAAACGTCGGATACTCACCGAGCTGCCAGCAATCACTGCACCTTCCTCATGGAGATTTCATAGGTAGAAATCATTCAGCTTAAGGTAGTGTAACTTCATTTTTATAAATCATAAAACTTCCCAAATTCTGCCTCAAGTGAAGGCAAGCCATAAACAAAATGGCATTTTAATGAGTCATTAAAACAAAATGACAAATTCCCTTAAAATTAAACTTATTGTGCATAAAATGTCAAGCTAAGAATATTTACCAATGAAGGAAAAAACCTGAGAAAGTGCAGGAATTCAAAGATGATTCCTATCCATGACAGAATTCCCACCCACCTCACCAGCAAGAAGCCACTGCAAGCGGGATCTCAAGGCGACCAGAATGACCCCAAGTGTTCCAAGACAAACGATGGATAACGGTGACCACTGATGTTAGTCAGAATTATGCTCTTCTTCATCATGAATAATCCAACACTTCTGACTAATATTCCTATTAATGGAGTAAATATTGAGTATCGTTTTTTCCTATGACGCCTGGTGTGGATGCACTGCAAAAACAAATAACCAAAAGAACAGGTTTATGACAAATGTGAGATAACTCAATATTTCTTTTACTATTTAGACTAAATTCGCATGGTGTAATAACATTTACCCTACAACTGTACATAAAATGATGTACTCAAGTAATGTATATTCTGTTGGAAATAAAAAAAAATTGAATTATGGTATTTTTAATACAAAAACTCATTTTCATGTGCATTTTTGCACATCTTGAACAGATTGAACCTTAGGTGGTTAGATCTAATTCATTAGCTACATTATTCATTGATATTGCAGAATAATCTTCCTGTTAGGCTGGCTGCCTTCTTGCAGCACTCCTTGAGGTACTTTGAAATCCAATTTTCCTGTTGAATATAAATCAGTCAATGTTGAGTTGGCCAACAGTGCACTAAATGGAAAATGTGAAGCTCCTCTTGTGCTGTAAGGCGTCAGCCTGCAGTGAGGGCTGTCCACTGGGATGGGCTCTGCTTCTCCAGCATCCCAATAAGCTCTCATACATAGTGCCCCACTTTTCCTGGATGTTCTTCTCACGTTCTCAAAAGAACAAAAGCCCTTATGAAGAGATGTTCCCAGGCTTTCCCAAGGGCAGATCCTGAGCACAGCAGGCTGCCTGCGGGGTGGTGGGTCCTGGGAGGTGTTCCAGAGCCATGGGGACGTGGCATGGAGGGACGCAGGCAGTGGGCACGGTGGGGGTGGTTTGGGGATCTCAGAGGTCTTTCCCAACAATCTTTTCATTAACAATTCTATGATCTTATAACTCTGTGAAGGGACTGGCCCAAAGCCATGGAGGAAAACTACTCAAAGACCTGTCCTCGCTATATGGGGCTGCCCTCCACGGCTCATTCTCCTGGCACAGAGGCAGTAGGGCCACAGGACTTCCCACAAACAAACCCTTGCAGTGAAGCCAGGCCTGAGCAAGGAGCTGAGCCTTCCTGCTGCACATGGACAACCCGCCAGGTCTCTGTGAGAGGCACAGCTTCATCTCATTCCTAACGGTACTTCCAACAAACGAGAACTTTTAGAGGAAATGTATCCTTGGTACAAAAAAAGAAAAAGTTATTTCATAAGCTATTTCATAAGATTCAGAAGATTAACTTTCCGACACATTATTTCGATGCATATTACTACAATCAAAAGACAATTTTGGTTTTATGACAGTTATGATATTTCTAAGTCAAAAACAAAAATAATTAGGTATGCCATATCACTTTAATTTCCTCCTATTCATAAATCAGATTCCTGCATTTTGCAATACGACTTCCAAACCATTTCAATGTGCTCTGAATCTGCAAACCCTTCAGGACACACACACCTTTGGACACAACGTGATAACAATGCTTGGCATTTCACCCCACATTTTCTTAAGCCTAGAGATGAGCACAGAGTTAGTTTTCACCTTTTCATCACAGATTAATGACAAATGCTCCATGGATTTCTGCTAACAATGATTCTAGAGGGAGTCTGAAGGGAATGACATGTTCTTCCTGTAAAAATCTCACCTAAATTTAAAATGGCTCTTTAGCCCATGAACTAAAATATTGTTCCCTCATTTCAGATGCATTCACCCAAAGTCTCAGAAGCTGCTGTCACTTTCAAAAATATCTCCTATTGTTTTGTTGTAATGAATGGATTTAGAACCAAGTTTTGTCTGAAGTCTTCCCCTCACTCTATAGCCTGAATGGGATGCATCAGATGGCTTTGTGTGCTTGGAGAGGAGAAGATGCACCTCCCCATGAGTTACTCAACCCTACATGCATTTGTACTGCATCCTTTATCACGGACCGTAGTTTCTCACTGGAAGTCACTATTAAAGAATAGTCTTAGTATTCTATTCCAAACACTTCTATAAATATTTTAGGACTGAAATATCACCTCTGGCTTACTAGGTTTGGGAAACATTGCTGGTAAGTAATTATTGCTCAAATTGTCAGTCCCAGCTCTGCCCTTTGTGTACACAGCATCTGATTGCTGCGGTGGCACTTATTTCAATATCCACATGGAATTTGGAAGAGGCACTTCAGTGTGAAGCTGAGGCTGAAGAACGACAAGATCTCTGTTGTGGAAAAGCTCCTGCGTCACATATCTCACTAGAACACTGTGAATGCTGCTGAATGGCATTCCAAGAAGTGCACAGTACCTTTAGAGAGGTTATGAAATACTGAATAGAGATTGCATTCCCCTAAATAAGCAGCATGAGGATAGGTGTGTCCTGGAACTGGGGACAGAGCACTGTGAGCCTCAGCAGTGCTCCAAAGTGCAGAGAGTGAGAAAAGTAGCAGAGTCACAACTGACAAATGAGTCTCTGAAAGATTGGGGAAGGAATAATGAAGGCAGACACTGAACCACAAAGCTGTGTTATCACCACACACAGCATTTCAAGGCAATCAGCAACAAACTGAAGTTTTTTCTGCCACACCCCCACTAACATTTGCACATTGCTGCAGCATCTCCCACAAAATATTTCTAACCTGGCACTGCTGCAGATGAGATGAGAAGACCACACAACTCCTAAGAGGAAAAAGAATCCCAGCTTTGAAGCCAGTTTAGAGTAAAGCACATTTCTGCAGCACTTTGCAAAGCAGAGCTGGAGCTGGTGAGCTGTCCTGGGGGGAGTCTAGGAGGGGTACAAGGGTCTGACAGTCAGCTCAGTAAGTCCTTGAGCTGGAGGAGGAAACACCCACTGCTCCCCAGGCTGCAACCAGCATAGCAGCCAAAAACTGGCAGTGCTAAGCAGTAATTGCCATCCCTATCTCAGGTCACACTGCCAAGTGGAATCCAGTTTTATTAAGAGTGCTGATCATGATTTATTTGTGTTTGGGAGAGATTGCGGCTCCTGCCCCACTTGGCATTGTATGACCACTCTGTATATGCTGATGTTTCAGAAGTGATCGATTGGATTTTCAGCAGCGGCTCATTAAGGGATCCTTTCACACAGCTATCTCAGAAAGCACTCTTTGAGTCCTTTAATAAAGCAAAGAACATGCTTTAGCAGCTTACATCAAGTAAATGCGACTGCAATAAAATGCAAGTTCACCCCCAACCTTCATATCATTCAGATGTAAGACAGAACATAAAATATGGAACTTGGTTCACTTTTTTCACAGGCCAACAGGATCCCCAAAATGAGAGGAGTGAGCCCTGCAGTCCATTTCACCCTACAGTACGTCAGTCAGGGTTGCTGACCCTGCTACCTGTCTCCAGGACCAGTGAATCTCACACAGTACCGCAGAGCACACCACTGAACCCCACCAGGAGCTCTCCATAAACGGACCATACCTGCCACACCGCTGCAGAACGCACATACAGAAGTGATCTTCTAAGGCTGAGGAGCCACTGAACTGAATGCTAGCAGAGATTTATTCATATAACTGCATGTTATGTATTATTGATGCTGAAGTTGCCATACCCTCGAGCAACAGCCAAATCATTGCACTGCTATCTTGACCCAAAACGCAATTATTTCTTCTCTTTCACTCTTTCAGTTGATCTCAAAGGAAGCCATCAAGTGTGACATAGCACGTGTGTTCTGCAGCCTAAGTGACAATTCAAATCACGTATTATGTACCATATAAATCCCAAATAGAAAAATAATGCTGGATTTTATAGTAACCATTTACTGAAGATGCAAATGTTATAGTTTTAGATGCAAAAAGCAGTAACTATCGTTTAGAATAAAGCTGTGGGTTTACAGTAATGCATGTGTTTATCTCTCAACAACTTGGGAAAAAAAGCCGTAATAAAAAGGTTTGAATCAGCTCCATCCGAGCATTTAGTAATTATGAGAAGATGAAGATAAAGTAGACACTTTTGTCTGTTAATTAATCACTTAACAGCGTGACAGAAATGGTAATACCTTGAAATGATCCAAAATTTGCTTCAGAAGAAAAGCACATTTGCAGCCACACCAAGGTCTACCTGCCTCCCACCGGGTTGAAGCAGCACTCCTCAGCACATCGGGATTGGGCCACTGCTGGGGTTAGCTGTGGGTTTCTCTTCTTTCAGATCTAACTGTTGGTGGATGATAGCATTGAATGAAGAGAGACACCACAGGTACTTCTAAGAAAGTTAGAGGTTTCACTTCTAACCAACTCTTTGTTCACCTTCAAATTAGACATTAGATCATCATCTGTGCAGTAGATCAGAGAGAATTTCAGCTGTGAGATGCTCTATGCAGATCTTAGGGGAGTTAAAGCTCTTCTAACAGAAAGCCAAGCAGCCTTGCTATCTCAGATGTGCCCATGCCTTGTTTAGTGCTAGAAGGAGGGCTGCTGGCATCTCACCTTGCTGATGGTTAACCTTCAAGGCCAGGGGCAGCTGGTCACATCCTATGGCATCACTACAGCCATTGTGGGGCCTTTTTGGTTCTTATACCTTAGAGTAAAATATGGATATCGATATGCTTGATGTCTCCAGGGGAGACGAGCACAGTCTGGGAAGGAGTCAGGTATTTGGTTGTTTGTCATAGAAGCCAGAAGACAATAACTGCATTTAAAATCTAAAATTAAATCTCATTTGACTGTATTCATTCATCTTCCAAGGAAAACATCCATCTTTTTAATGATAATCAGCCGCAATATAAAGCAAAATATAAAGTGAAATAAAGAAGGAGGATAACCCAGCGGGCTCTGACGTGGCAGCTTCAGAGGCAGTGCCAGCACAACTCTGGCTTTGACGAGCTGCTCTCAATTAGAGCCCCTGGGACGAGCAACGTGCACCACATCCATCAGCCCAAAACAAAGCAGTACCTGCGTCGTGCACAATAAAGGAATAACTTGTATTATGCCAGAGAATTTAATGAGCTATGACTCCAAATCCCCGGCAGGGAATAACTCTGCTTTATTGTTTATCCTCGGCGCTGCGTGAGCCTCTTTCCTCAGCCCCGCCGCCCGGTGCCACAGCCGTGCAAACCACAAATATTTGCCCTGCACAGGGCTTTGTGTAAGCGAGTTATCAGCGCCTCGATGCACTTGACTTTATGCAATTAAGCTTCCCTTGAATACCTACTTTTTGTAAAAGCTAATTACCATACTTACTGCTACTTGAGATTAGAAGGGGAATGTAGAGAGAAGTTTAACACTGCTGTATCTCTATCACTGAAACAGCTCCGGAAATAAATTAGCAGCACACAGTTTCTAGCTCATTAAATATAGTCATCGTTTTTGTGCCCACAAATACTTCTATTATTCAGCTTGAAGGATCTCACCATCATTTTCCTGTTATTTGTGCCACAGCAGCGAGCTGTAGGCCAGCCTTGGGCTGCTGTACGAAGAGAACAAAGTGAGAGATGTAACCTTTGCAACGGGACAGGTTATCTCTCTGAAAAGCTGTATGGAGGGTTTTGTTAAATCCCCTTTAGCCCGCACACGTGGATATTTTGCTGCCATAAGTAGCGTTAGTTCAGATGAAAAGCTCCAGCATCATTTGTCCCATTGCCCCCAGGCACTGATCATTCTGGTTTATAAGTTTTCATTAATTTTCTAAATGTCACCTCAGTCCAGGATACAAAGCTCGCATCTCAGCAGTCCGTTCCGTCTTTAGCAGAGAAGCATTTGCAGAGTTCCAGGAGGTCGAGGTGCCCGGAGGAGGGGCACATCAGGACCCCGGAGGAGCCCTACACCCCCAGCCCCCTCACCCCGGCCCTCCCTGACCCATCCCAGCAGCACGGAGCTCAAATCCCATTGCTGTCCGCTCCGCCCGCTTCTCTGTTTGCTCCCCTTTCGCCATGCAAACAGCATTTCAGCTTACAGATCATCTCCGTGGAGAAGAAACTCCAGAGGATAAAGGTTCTAAGAAATAATTTTATGAGGCACGCGGTAACGAGCTGTAAAAGGGATCTTTCCTTTTTATCTTAATGCGGAGTGTTTTTGGAAAAGCATCTATGTTACCAATCGGGGGAGCTGCGATTTCTGTGATTTCCCTGAAGAAGGAAGAGCAGGTGCTAATCTAACTATGAATGTCGTGCTAAGCCATGAGAATTCACAGCCATCCTTGGGTTTGCATAGGGCAACTGTGACTATTGGTGAATAACAATGAGAACAACTGCTTTTAAGCAGCACGATGGGTTCAGTGCTGTCTCAGCAGGCAGGAGCCTCACCTATCCTGTAGCACAGCTAATTTGAAGCTATGCGAACGGCATTAAACCATATTTAGTAATTATGCATGAAACGAAATCATAATTGAATTTAGCTTCCAGCAGCGTGCTAAACCTCTGGCACATCAGTTCAAGATTAAATAATGCCAAGTTACTGTTGGCCTTACTTTCATGCAGCATAACTCCCCCCCCCCCCCCCCCCCCCCCAGCTGTGCCTTTGCTGCAGTTCCACCCCAAGGATTGGAGCCTTGGGCTCCGGATTGCCATCCCCATCTCCAGGCACATCGACAACCAGGTGATGCCAGTTTATGACAAGAGAACTGGAGAACTTAAAAAAGTTTCAGAACAACATGAGTTATGTTCCTCAGACTTATACAGCACACCAGGAATTTTATAGGCATGTGTCTCAAATGAGCTTGTGGGGGACATCCATAAAGACAGCAAGCGCAGTTTCACTGACACATCAGATACAAGAGAGAATTAACAAGTCATTGTAAGCTTCACCTATGACACCTATGGAACCATCTCTTCCTCTCTGCAATTACATTTCCAACAGAATCATTCATAAGAAACGCAATTAGTGAATTTGCAACTTGTGCAGGATTTGCCCCTCTCAAACTCATTTATAATTAAAAGGTTTCTGTGTCAAAAGCCAAGGAATTTGTTCTTTCACAAGGAATTTGATCAGCAATGGCAATAAATCAGTGCAGAGGGTCGATGCAAACACAGGGAGAGAAGGCAATGCTGAGTGTAGGAAGCAGCAGTGAGCTGTAAAACTCAGGCGCTGAGCTGTTTGTCAGGCACACCTCACCTGAAAGCAGCAGTTACCATCAAACGCATCTCCCACCTCTCCAGAGCCTGGTGAAAGTCAGAGCCCTCAGCTCACTTCAGAAACAGTTCCCAAACACAAACAGTATTTCTGCTCTAAGATCCCAGTCCAAGCCCACAGCACAAGTTCACATGCAAGAAAGAAACCTGCTGCAGTATTACAGTAGAAGATTTGTCCGCTGCCCTTCTGAGAACACAACTGGAACCAAGGAACCATTGTTGGAGACACCAGAGGCGTGTCCATATTACCAAGGAGAGGGGGAAAATAACTCAATAACAAAAACCCCACTACTTTACAGACTTTACAACTTAAAAATAGAAATAAAGAAAGCAGCAGGATCCACTTCACAGAGTCTAAGGAGTGGAGCACTGAGATATGTGGCAGAACAGCTCCAAGTGCTCCCCTATCCTTCAACCCACAGGTTTCACTGTGCATTTCATTGGGTAGTAATTAAGCTAAACACAGTCTCCCAGCCCCCTTTCAATGCAATTTTCCAGTGTAACCATGAGAAGAGATTAAATCCAGCCTACAGAGAGCTGAGCACATTGCACCCTCTCCAGCAGCCCTGTGCTTCTTCAGAGCACACAGCCACCTCATTTGCTTCAGCAGCTTCGCATTCTCCTAACAACTTTTGAAAACCTTCAGCAAACCAGCAAGTAAAGCAGACAGTGCTTGGAACAACCCACCAGTGCTGGCACAGGGGCAGGCTGGGAGCTGACACACCGCACACCACACAGCTGCAGTGAGATGCACAGTGACTGCACCCAGTGCAAGATCTCACTTCGCCACGCTCTGCATTCCCAGGTGTCCCCATCCCTGGAGGTGCCCTGGGCAGCCTGGTCTAGTACTAGATATGGAAGTTGGTGGCTCTGTCTGTGGTAGGGGGGTTGGAGCTTTATGATCCTTGGGGTCCCTTCCAACCCAAGCAATTCTGTGTCAGAGGAAAAACTGTGGGCTGGTTTCATCCATGTGCCATGCACAAATCCCACTGGAACAGCACATCTGGCTGACCACAAGATCTAAAGAGCTGAAGGAAATCCATTTAATAAACATCAGAAGGAGCTGTTATTTGCCAAAGATGTTTGGCATCACATTAACTACTTTGTTAGCCTCTTAAATGATCATTTCAACAGAAAACAAATTTCTCCTTGAAGGCAATCCAGGGGCTGCTGTATGGGTTTGTTTTGATCTGCTTGCAAATACAGAAGCCGGTGAAATTCATAAGAGCTGTGAGAATCTATTGCTGCAGAAAGCCATGTAAATGAGCACACTCCTGTGCATATATACAGTACTTAAATTATTTTCCTCACCATCTGTGACAATGATTTTACGAAGGCGCATTTTAAGCAGGTACAGATTTATATGGGCTTTCTCGTTAACATTTCAGAGATATTCTCTAAACGCAGAGTTTTCTTTCTCTGGTGACAGCAATGCCACGTTGCTCACACAGGGCTTTGCTCTTAACATTTATCACTTTTCATGTTCCTTGATGTAAATGAGAAAGAGCTGGCAAGGATGATAGAAGGCGGTAACAGGACGATGCCTTCATGTGTGAAGAAGGTCACCATCTGTCCCCAAACAGCTGAAAAAGGTGCAATGGGCTCAGAAGGTGGAAATCTGCAGTAAGATATTTAATTTAAATTTGGGAGCAGAATGACGGACCAGACTTTGTACATCCTTTAATTAAGGGTGCAGTTTGACTCTATATCTGAAAGAATTTCAAAGACATTTGATCTCCTGGAAAGAAAAAAAAAAAGCTGTAATTGCTTCCATTTGAAGAAAATTAAAAATCATTTGGGGAAGGGGATGAGTCGCATTGCCATCAATCTCAGTAACACTCAAATGGCAGCAATGAGCCCCATGCATGCTTCCCAGAGCCCTTCATAAGCAGCAGCCGGGGCCTCCACTGGGTGCAGTTTGTCCTCCCAGCATCAATGGGACCTCCATGCTTCTGAGCTTCTCAAGGAGAAGCTTCTGGAAATCCTTCTGGAAGCCCCAGAGATCTGAATATGGTTTCCGTGATGCCACTGACTGAACTGTATGCATGGCAAATCCAATTCACCTTCATGCATGTGCCTTTCTAGGCACGTCGGGGAGTGAAAGTTTCCTTTTTTTCCCCTTACAAATTAAGTCCAGAGGCAACAGTACTCAATGATCCCTATGAGACCCTTCCAACTCAGGATATTCCGCGATGCCCTCATAGGACACCTGGCCCTGTGATCCATAAGATGCTACACTTTCAGAAGTAATGAGAAGTTCTATTGATCTTGCCAAAGAAATAGTTTTCTAATTGAAGCGGTCACCATTTTTATTAAAAGCGTTTTTGCTGTAGCCGTTTCAACACATCCATTTTTACAGAAAGACACCCAAGGAACACAGAAACACTTGGCATTGTTGCCCCTGCACCCTCACCTCATGCATCCCATTTATTTGCATGCCTTCCATTGCACCATCAGCATTTTGCATGTGCTCCCACCTCCTCGCACACAGGATGTGCACTGCATTCGCTGAGCACGTATTCAGTATTTCCAGTATGTCAGAGGCCTTATCTCCTGCCTGCTGCCCAAACACTGCTCTGAATGAAGGATTTTTCATTTCCTTCGGGCTCTTCTCTGCTGTTTGTCACTACCTGAGCACTTCATGGCATTAATTATGCTGACAAGTCAAGGCAGCAGCATTATCTCCACTTCACACATAGGGAACTGAGGCAGGGAAGGTAAAGTCAGAACCGAAGCTGGCCAGGAACTTCAGAGGAGCATTTTAGTCCCAGTAAAAACCAAATTAAAAAAAAAAAAAAAAAAAAACAAACAAACAAAAGCAAAAAAAAAACCAGAAAGCATCACCTCTGAGTAAGAACACATGAAGAACTGAAAAGAATGCACAGAATCAGAGGGAGGAGCTGGCTGTTCCAGGCATGGGAAATACCACATTCCTGTTTAGCAAAGAGATGCAATGTGACTAAAGATGATCAGGGGGCTGGAACATCTCCCTACAAAGACAGGCTGAGGGAGCTGGGCATGTTCAGCCTGGAGAAAAGGCAGCTGCAGGGTGACCTCATTGCAGCCTTTCAACACCTAAAGGGAGCCTACAGACAGGAGGGGAGTCAACTCTTTGACAGGGTAGATAACTGCAGGACAAGGGGAAATGGTTTGAAGTTGAGGGAGGGGAGATTGAGGTTGGATGTCAGGGGGAAGTTCTTTACAGAGAGAGCGGTGAGGTGCTGGAACAGCTGCCCAGAGAGGCTGTGGATGCCCCGTCCATCCCTGGAGGTGTTCAAGGCCAGGTTGGATGGGGCCCTGGGCAGCCTGGGCTGGTATTAAATGGGGAGGTTGGTGGCCCTGCGTGTGGCAGGGGGTTGGAGCTTCATGATCCTTGAGGTCCTTTGCAACACAAGCCATTCTATGAGTATATGATAAAGGGAGTTTGGGTTGGGTTTGATTTTCCCCCATGTTTTTTCAGCTGCTCAATGTTAATACAAACTATCTCAGACCGTTACCAGGTACGATTCTACCCCTTCTCGGCTGAGTTCTCAAAACAAATGAATTTCATAGAGGAAAAAAAAAAAAGCATCACCCAAATGATGGATAAATGTAGGTGGCTACACGTCTGCACAGGCAACAGAGGTATTTCTGGATGCTCTGCTGGCTGCATGCTTTCCTGACAGGGCAGCAGTCCTCCGCTTTGTCCAGGTAAGTATCTGGATCTGATCTTTCAGAAATACAGACTCTAAGGGCAATTTATAGACTTAATTATGACAAAATATAAAGGCAAAAGCCTTTAAGAATGCTCACAGAAAATGATGGTTTAAGAACTCAAATTGCCAAAGCTGTCATAACAATTTTTCTGTAAATACTTCCATCATTTCATCCTTAACCTTATTCTTTCCCAGCTATAAACCACGATTAAAAAGTAGCAAGTTACTGATTACAAAAATAAGTCTCAACTAAATCCCTTCACAGCCTGTCAAGTGTGCAAATATTTCAACAGCTAATGGCAAATTCCACAGCAATACAAATATATGTATTAATTTCAATCATTCAGGGCAGGGAGGTATGAGTAAGGGCGCTATCATCCGGGGCCGTAATTAATCATCGTGGACATTTCATTGCCAGTGAACATAAATCAAGAAGCAAGAATTCCTCCTATCTGAGTGATATGTAACCAGCATTAACGCAGTGACAAAATCTAATGCTTGTCAGGAGCCGGTACATATTTTATCTACCTTTGACACCTGAGATGCAGGACTGTTTCACATGAGCGCCCTCCATCACTGCATTTATTTTCTGGATGTAGAGCACATCCTTTAGAAGTATTACCAGAATACAACAGCAAGGCTCAGAAAAGAGGATGCCAAACCTGGGATATAAAGTTTCTAGAAGCAGAAGGGAAAAAAATAATAACCTTATAGGGCAACATGATTCAGACATGATAGATAAATAAGATAGGACAGTTGCAGGACAGTGCAAGGCAATTCCCAAATCGTCAAGCAGTAGCTGATGTCCATGTGTACCTCTGTTAAACAGTCAATAAGAGAAGCAAGCTGACTTGATGTCCCAAACCTTAAATGCCACAGAATGACGGGGACTGGAAGCTTTGAGTCTGAGCCCTGCTGGGGAGGAACACAGCTCTTAGCCTCACCCTTCAGCTGCGAGCATTCCTGGAGAGGTCTCTGGCTGGGATCAGACACTCCATCCTGAGGCAGAGAGCTGATTTCTACCAGAAAACCACATACTCTAACACTTCCTTAAGTCCTTCTGCCTAAGCCCTTGTTTCTGATTAATGGATGGCAAACCATCCATTGGGTTGAAGAGTTGGGAAGATTCGTGCCCCAAAATGCTGGAGGGGCACAGCTCTGCCTGGAGCCACGCGGTGGGCATTTGGGTCGCTCTTATGGCAGCCCACCTCCAGCCTGCTGCAAGCACAGTCATGTGGGAAAATGGAATGGAAGCTATGCAAACTTCAAAGCTCCTCTCCTTCACAACCTTAGTTAAGGCCCATCTGTTCTTAATATTTGCTCAGAGCTACCACAGCCAGACTAGAACGCATCTGCTCCAGGTGTCCATGCACAACCAAGCTTATGAGAGACCTGCATCTGAAGAGACATAAGCCTCATAGCTTTTCTGAAACTCGTTCAGAAGCTTAATTACTTGGAAAAAAGTCTCTGAAAATGACAGCCATGTCATGATTTTTGGGACAGCTCTTTGCCTTGGCAGGCATGGTGGGGATCTGAAGGGCTTGGACTTTATCTTAGAGGTCCTTTCCAACATTAGTGGTTCAGTGATCTCCAGCTAAGACAGCACACTTTATCACCTACTACCACCAATACCATTTTTATCAGCGCACAAACGATTCAGGTATTACTCTGACCCACAATGGGAGCTGGACCAGGCGAAATAAGGCTGCCACTTCAGGCAGAACACCAACAGGCAGCCTTATGGGCAGAAGCAGGCATTCCAATACAAGTCAGATGTGTGAGCTTTCTGAAGGACCACGCTGAGCACAGCCAAACCTCTCTGCTCTCAACTTGGAAAACACAGCCCTGAGCACTGCTCATCACCTGAGATCAAGAACTGCTCAGGATTGCTGAAGACAGCACTAATCCTTCAGCCTCAGAGCACTGCAGATCTCTCAGCACTTCAGTGCTGCTGATAACAGCTCAGACCGTAACAGCCCTTCACCCACTGGTTCTCCAACTATTTCTCATTTTTTCATCTGAACTCAAAACTAAATACATTAATCACGATCTCTTGCAGGAAAATATGTATATATGTACTTCATATTTAATCACTCCGTTATATCAACAACATGTAGAGCAGAAAAATATACAAACAGCTGTGTGACTAACAGGAACGTAAGCCCCAAGGTAGAATTTAGCCCATCTGCAGGAACTACAAACCCAGGTCTGAGCTAATCCATTTGCAAAACACTCAGCACACAAAACATGCTCTCAGCTTTCCATGGAAGCATTCTATTCCAAAGCACAATTTACATTTTAATTCGTATTGTACAGAGTCAAATACGAAAAATAAGCATCAAGGTTTTTCTTTGCTGAATTGTTTCTTAATTAGATCTAAGCGTTCAGTCGAACCATTTCAAATTCTCATTGCTTTCTGAAAACAACAAAGAAGAAATCCTTAATTATTCATGGGATCCATTCACTGGAAGTGCCTTGGATTGCTTGTGTTAAGGAAACAGCTGCAGATTGCTGACACCCATCCGCTGGGATGCAGGGGCTGCACAGGAGCACACACAGCTACCAGACGGCTGCAACAACACCGAGCACAAACATACTGCATTCTGGATGCCACCTCAGTGCACATGAAGCAGGACCCCCATTGGGGCACCCCAACACAGGGATGGAAGAGGCCCACAGCTGCCTTCCCACTGCTTCCATCAACCCTGCAGCCATGGGGATCACAGGCTACTCGGGGACAGCAGAGCTGCTCCTCAAGGAGCCAGGCAGCGCTCACAGCCTGGTCTGGTGTTGGTGACCTTGCTCACAACAAGGGGGTTGAAACTAGATGATCTTTGAGGTCCTTTTCGACCCAGGTTGTTCTATGATTCCATCATTCCTTGGGCAGCTGCTCCTCATACAAGCCACCAGGACCTTCTTGCAGGGTGGGTTGGGAGCAGGTGTCTGTATTATCCTTTCTCACCACAGTCTGTTGCATGCACATCTTGAACAAGTTAATATTTTAAGCAGTACAGAACACCTTTCAATCTCAAGCACTGCCTTGCTTTAGCAAAGGGCAGAGGAGGAACAATGTTAGGTAACTAACTTCATCACAGCAGATGTAAAAATACAGGTAAGCAATAAGATTTCACTCAGAAGCCACACATCCCCCAACAGCTTCACTTGGAAACTGCTAACATGAACAAAGCAGCACAACTCTAATTCCTTGGTCCCCATCCCAGCAATAGCACTGCAGATGAACACAAACAAAGCGTTGCACTCACCTGGCTCAGGCACAGCTCCAAACTATTGCAAACCAGGCATGCTAAGATCTCCCACACAAATCAGGTTAATTTTTAATTCAGAAAAAACACCCCCCTGCACCTGGCTTTTATATCCTGTTGTGTTTTTGGAAGAATTTAAGACCACATAGCTTTAGCCAACCTGCCCTGAGAAGCACAGGCTGCTGTAATCCCATTCCAGCTGATACCAATACACAGAGAAATTTGACTCATCACATCTTGTTACAGTTAAATGTGCTGCTAATTTGTGAGATATTTTGCCTGACCTGTCAAATCAACTGACTTCCATGTTCTTTCTTCTTTTTAGCATAACTAATTCAAAATCATTTATTCCACTTCATTAAAACTAAAAGTTGATCTGAAAAACAGTAGCTGGTGTTAGATGGAGCATCACCTTCCCACCAAAGCAGCCAATGCCAAATCAGAGTGACATTCATTTCTAAACAGTCATCACCTTCATATGGAAGTATTTTCCAGCTGGTTTGCACATATCCTTTTCTTGTCCTTATTTCTCATCTGGAAATGCCTCTCTGAATTGAATGCTTACATTCAGCCTGGGTCAGATAAAAGTACCCCATTGGGTATGAGCTGGGTATGTGCACCTTCAGCAGTCACCTCTGAAAACCCACAAGGGTTTTTCACCTGTGCAAGGAAAACACAAGGCACTGCTTAGAAAGAACAGGGCCCACAGGCAGTGAAATGCACATATTGGCTCTGGGACATTACATAGCAGCCACTCAGCCTCTGCTCTGCCTCTGTGGGAACACCCAGCTAAGGAGCCTCCAGCTAAAACAAAGCATGAGCTGCACCTGATGTGAGCTGGTTAAGAAGAAATTCCATCAGGCCCACCTGCCTTCATCCTGCAGCCAGGCACTGGGATGAGGGGACAGGGAAAGGATGGAGGCTTTGATTCTGTGCTGTGTGCCATTGCTGTGGGTGAGGGCAGAGCCCCATGCTCAGGATGCACACACAGCAGTAATGAGCAGCTCACTGCCAGCACCACCAAAACGAGCCCACCAGGTTTGCACGGCACCTGGTACTGCTCCAAATTTTCACTGGCGATTTGGTTGAAGGGATAGAGCACACATTAAACTTCCTGTTGGCAGCAATCTAAGAGCGACTACAAATATGCTGAAAGACAAGATCAGAATTCAAAGTGACCTTGCCAAACATCAAAAACAGCCTAAAGGGAAAGAGAAAAAAGAAACATGAAAGGGATAAAATTTAATCAAAACAAGTGCAAAATTCTCCTGTTAGCTTCTCATAAAATAGAAATACAGAATGAGGAGCGTGAGAACAAGGCTAAGCAGCAGTGCTGCTCAGAATGGCCTGGGATCAGAATAGGGCACAAACCAGACAGGAGTCAACAACACTGTGCAATGGGGTTGGAAGGGATCTGTATCTGGGTATCACTGAACCTCTCCAGGGCAGAGCAGAGGGAAGGAGCACCTCCCTGCCCTACTGGCCCCATCCTGTGCCATCAGCCTTCTTGGCCACAGGGACACACCAGATGGTCAACCAAGACCTCATGTCCATCTCTGCAGAACACCTTTCCAGCAGCTCAGCCCCACATGGCACTGATACACACGGTTATTCCTCCCCAGGTATAGGATTTCCCACTTGCCCTTGCTGAACCCCATAAGGTTCCTCTCCATCCTTAGAGAACTCTGAAGCTGCCACCAGCACTTCTCCTCATTCTGAGTGAATTCCTTCCCCAGACAATATACCAGAATCCATGCAAAAGCTGTCTAAATTTTCCGAATCTCCACCTCCATCTCAAGAGCTGATGGTTAAAACAACTTCTGCCTCTCAGGAAATAAGCTGTGCAGCCACTGTCATTAGCATTAATGCAATCTTGATTACCAAGCCCTGCCCTGTGGGATGCCTGCTGTTTTTCAATATTTCTGTCACATAATGCCCTACCAGGAAATGCGTGCCTTAATAAACACTTACAATGGCAGTTAAGAATAAGAGATCATACTTCTCGTCTCCCTCAGCCTCACAGATGCATTGCCTATAACCTAATGAAGTTTCTAAAAACCAGGCGATGCGGTTAGAGATCCTGTCTGGGAGAACTCTCTGGAGAAATGATAAATCATGCCTCTAATGTCCTCATTTGTCTGCAAAAAGTGATGATGCCATTAGTTGGGACAGTTCGATCCCAGAAGTCAAAGCTGCGATAGAAGTCTGAAACTTTTTTGGTGATGAAACTCTGTGCTATTTAACAGTAATGCTGATAGAACCAAGTTTAACCTCAGGAGAGGAATGATTAATAAAGAAGTGATACGCTGTGTTTTTTCCAAATTTGCCAAATCATTTCTTACTGCCCTAATCCCTATGTCAGAAAAATAAAATAAATATAGAACTGCTATCCAATTAAGGCTCTGCTAGGAAGGGAAAGCCTTTCAGATCGAATTTCCTGCACGCATAGGTAGTTAAATGTGTGCCCCGAGGCAGATGAGCAGCTGGACCCCAGCTTGTTTGAGCAGCTTTGTTAACTCATGCTGGTGACACGATGCTCCTCAATCTCTGTTGGCATCACCATGAAAAGAGACGGGGAAAAAAGTCATCCTAGTCACGCTGGTGCATGGCAAGGCCAGCTCTGTGAGCAGCACTGCCCTGCACGACCTGCCTGCTCCACCCATGGCCCTGCAGCCCCACTTCCATCTGCAGCACACAGCCGCGCTTCCATCTGAAGGTGCAACAAACCCATTTCCTGCTGTACTCATCATGACCCACGGTGTGCATCTTCCCTGTTAGCAATAAAAGAAATTTGCTTCAGCCAGGCCTCCAAATTATACAGGAATCATGTTTATAACAGTTTCTATTATTTGCATGCTTCTATTAGAGGAATATTGCCGATGAAGAACGCCGTGTTCCTTCACAATTCCGCTTTCAGAGAAGCAAACTTTGAAGGCAATCTCCGAAATATGTAATTTACAAAATTACTGTAATTGATGTGGCTGTTCTATTGAGAGGTGTAGAAGTTCAGGAGCTTCCGATAGAAAGTATTTCTGTTTTAAAAACTCTGTTCTCGTGTGGCTGGGGGTGCAGCTGGTGGCTGTCCGGCACCACCAGGCATGCGCAGGGCCGAGCTGTGCTGCTGGTTGAGCTTGTCGTCTTCTCATTTGACAAGCAAATAGATTCAATAATTGGCATTAAATACCAATTAGACTGAGCCTTTGTGCAGTCCCAACCCTTCCGGAGGAGGCAGGTTATACTTGCTGTGGAGTTAAGTGTTACGCTTCAGCTGCCTGAGAGCTCACAGCTGCTGCAACCGGGGAGAGATCCTGTGCTCAGGTGATGCACGTTATTTCTCTTACTGAGGATGCTCAATTCTCTTTCCACCTTACAAAGTGCAAAGACCACACAGACCTCACACGCTGCTACACCGCTCTCAAACAATTAGTACTTAACCCCTTTTCCTGTGTGCTGCGAGAGAAGCAGCCAGCATGATGATAAAGGCTGGCAGAGATGTGGCTGTGAAGCACCACAGACAATGCTGTCTGGTGAAAGGCAGTTGCACCTTGAGAACCTCTGTGAGCTGCCGTGCTTCTGCTCTCTGTGTCGTCCTACAGATTGCTCTGAAACCTCTGCTGTTTGCAATGGCTGTTGTGCATTGACTTGGATAAAATAATTGGCACTATAATTTTATACCTGTCAAAAATCCAATATACACCACTGACTAATTGCTATTTTGTGTGCTCATAAAGGTATAAAATCAATTTAAGTGCTCTGCAAACCAACAAATTCCTCTGTGAGGCTGCGAATGGTAAACACCGTTGTGTTCACTACTGCCAGCCTTCAGTCTGGGGGGGTAAATTGCTGCATCATACCTCATCTTATAACAATTTTGAGACCAGTCTGGCAAAGTACTCTAACTGCCTTTGTACCAGCGAGACCCTTGAAACCTGTGTGTGTGAGCTAGGGCTGTATCTCCCATGGCTCACATGGAGCAGCTCCCTCCATCTCAGCAGAGGACAGATGTGGTGTGGGCAATGGCGTTCTCTCTTCTTCCCGTGCTCTGCAGCATCCCTCCACCACTCCCACCAAAACAAGGAACAGAGCTGCTCAGAAAACATCTTCCATTAATGGCACTTCTAGCAGAGCCCAGAATGAGGTGAGTGAAGCTTGAAGTGCTACCATCAAATTTCATGTCTGAGTATTTCAAAAAACAATGCATCCCTTCTAATTTTACAGCGCGTTTGGGCAGAATGTTTTCTGCCGTGAAAATGACATTTCCAGTGCTACTGGCTGTGGGTTTTATTGACAACTGAAGTGGATTTGAGAAATAAAGGTAAAGAAAAATAGTTACAAACAGAAATAAAAATGTTATTATCAACAGGTAGAAAGAGAAAGGATGCCATTCCCTTCAGGAAATGGCTGCACGGTGCAGCTGAGCCAGCACAGATTTCCACAGCTTCCACTAGCAGCTTTGCAATAACACAAACAAGGGCACTAATGATCTAATAGCTGAGGAAAATAAACGCTGTGTGCTTTCTTATGTAGGCTGCTGCTGTAGCACTGAGGTATCACACGTCCAACAGAAGCTGGATGGTTGGACTAGGTGATCTCAGAGTCTTTTCCAGCTTAATGATTGGTCCCAGTGGAACACCACCCCCTCCCTGCCCTTTGCCTTAGTGCTCAGTAATCTCTTCTCTTTGTATTTGCTGTCTTAATACATTTAAGCAATGAATTCATAACGTGACAAAGGCAGCATGAGAACAGACTTACGGCTTAGTTTTAATGAGTGTCAGCATGGCAGGCCAGACTCCTACCGGCACTTGGTTTCCCAGAGCACATCCATGGAAATGAGCACTTTGTCACCAGCCTGGCCCGTGTTCTAACGAAGCCATTAACGTGTGAGTACATCAGGTGTAGGCAGCTGCCTCCTCCCATCCACAGTGAAGCCTTTCCCCCTATTTTGCTAACAAATTAGATTAGTTGAGAGTAAAAATTTAATTACTGTCATGCGCCATCCCTCTATTTGTGATCAAAGGAGTGTGTCCCCATCAGCTTTGTAGTCCCTTTTTCTCCTGAAACGGGAGAGAAGGAAGATCACCCAG